AACAAAAAGAAGAGAAAAAGAAATGAAACAAAAAAGAAAGGAAAAAAGAACTGATAATGAAAGAAATTTGGCAGAGAAGGAAAAGAAAGAGGAAAGGGAGAAGAAAGAGAAGGAAAGAAAAAAAGGAAGAAAGCAGAGAAAAAGTAAAGGGAGCATAGAAGAAAAAGAAAGAAGGAAAGAGGCAGAGAAGGTAAAGAAAGAGAAGAAAGAGAGAAGAGGAAGAAAAGAAAGAGGGTAGAAAGGAGAGAAGGTAAAGAAAGGGAACATAGAAAGAAAAGAGAGAAGAATGTGAGCAAAGAAGGAAAAGAAATGTGAAGGCAGCAGAGAAGGTAAAGAAAGAGAACAGAGAAAGAAAAGAAAGAAAAAAGACAGCAGAGAAAAGGAAGTATATGGAAAAAGCAGACAAAAACCCCAAATATTTATTTCAAGTACATCAAAATCAATCCAGTATTAAAATCTGTTCGCTGAAAGAAAGAACAAAGATTAATAAAAAGAAACTCAGTCTTTTTCATTCTTTCTTCTTTTTTTTTTTAAACACTTTGGCAAAGATCATTCAACAGAAAGAAAGAAAGCAAGACAGCATAAGATGTTCAGTTGGTTAGCTGTTAATAAGTTAGTAGAGCAAAAATCTTTGAAGAACTAAAAAAAAAAAAAATAACAAAAAAACAGAAAAATTTGCACTCCAAGTGAAAGCAATAAACAACACAAAAAGGGAAACAAAATGGTCAGTGAAAGCATTTATGGATTTGGTTTTTTTTCGTTTTTTTTTCGAGGAGCAACTTTTTGCAACTCTGTAAGAAAGAATGAAAGCAAACGATGCATTTTATGTTTGATAAATTTTTTTTTTATGTTTTCTTTTTTTATTATTCATCAAATGTTTTCTTTACTGTTTAGTCATCTAATCAAGGCTTCTTTTGGAATTCAGGCCTCTTCCACTGATTCCAAGTCTCTGGAGAATTTGGTAAGCAGTTTTGGGTGTGAACCAGTTTGTATATTTTAGATTGGTGCAAAAGGTAGCGATGCTTTTACTTCCATACGGATTGTACACATGAGGAAGGCTGAAGAATGAATTGGCTGCAATATTGTGATAAGAAAAAGAAACAAAAAAAAAAGACGAATAGTTTCCACAATTCTTGTGACAAAAGCCGCTTCAAATTGTTTAAAAAAGCCCATCACTTTTTTTCCATTTCAGTCTTTGTATAATAAAACATTGCTTGCTTATCTACATAAATATAGCAAATTTTACTATATATATATATATATATATATATATATATATATATATATATATATATATATATATGTTAAAATGAGATAAATTTTAAAAGACTTATCTTAGAACTGACTAAGTTTTGCAGATATCCACTTCTCAGAGTCAGATAAATCTACTGAATTCATTAGGAAGTATCATATATATATTATATATAATGAATGCTAGTTAGATTCTAGACAAATTTCAAACTTGCTTTAGGCTAAAAACTTCATCCATCACATAACATAACATTTAACTTAAAAATTATTTGATCTTTACATTTTTATCATTTCACTGGTTGTAAAAAAAAAAAAAAAAAAAAAAATATACAGTTAGGGTACAAACTTAGATTGACCTATCGGCTCATAAAAAGACAGGAAGAATTTTTTTAAAACCATTTTTGTAGATTAGAATTCAATAGACCTTTTATTCACAATATTTGTCAGAATAAAAAAAATATGGATTTTTTTTTTCATCATTTTAGGAGTGGGAGTCTTGTTCATAATATAAATACAGTGTTAAATCTATCCCTGACTTCATAAAGAGTAATATGTACATGTCAAACCTGGTCAGTACCAAAATGGGTGACTCCTTGGGAATACCAAGTGCAGTAATCTTCTAAGATGTGTGGGTGGTGTAATGTAAAATGGCTTGGAATTGTAAATTGAAAAGACAATTTTCAATTCCAGTTGGGTTTGTTATATTCATTTATGCACAAATACCCTTGGGAAAGGTAAGAATCCACCTTTCCCACCCCTCAGCTTTTTTGTTCTCCCTCCAATATGATTAAATAGGTTTGCCTATCACCTGGTTCACCCTCCTCCCAGGTCTTTTGAACAGGAGTAGAGGTTTATATTGTGATTCTTATTTAGGATTGGGTTTCCAGTTCCTTCTAAAGTCTTCACATTCTTTTTCACTCCCAGTAACCTCTTGCATCTTAGTAGCATTATTATCTTACTTGGGGTGAATTGATTAAAAAGATAGTAATGACAATTATATTTATTTAATTTTTCAACTGAGTTGGTTATATTTTCTGCATGAGTAATCTTGGATTTTTCTATACAATTAACTCCACTGTCACATGTTAATAAACAATTCTGCTTTTGAAATCATTAAAAATAAAAATATCAAAAGTGAAAATAAGAAAATAAAAGGAATAAAAAGTAATATATTTGCAGCTTCCTTTTACAAACATACTGAGTAATACTTCCTGCTGCCTTAAAATGGAATATTTCATTACTAAGTAGGGAAGATCAGGCTGCATGACATATATATATATATATTTTTTCACACATTGTTTTATATTATAAAATAGATTCTGTCTGGATCATACTATACTCGAAGCTAAAATGACCACAATTAATAAATCACTGTAAATATCACAAAGAATAAAATTAGTAATTTCATTATTCATGTTGTAGAGTAGGACTCAGCATGCTTCCTGCTCTTCCCTATTCCTACTACAGTCATAATGGACTGTTCCTATTTATAAATATGGCAAGTAGTCACATTAGAGGATTTGAGTAGTATTTGATTTACTTAAGTTATTCCATTCTATGTATGAGTATTTAATAAACCTCTTTGTTTTCCCTACCTAGTCTTGTATTTCTTCGATACTTACTACGGCCTTCCTAATTCTTGGCTATTTTGAACAAAGACAGCATTACAACAGTTCAATATTAATATTTCCAGTGTGAATTTCTGGGATGAGGAGTTATCATAATTTATATGATTTAATATTTATAATAATTGTGAGTTCAATCTCTGGGCTGAGTAGTACAAATTTAAACACACAGCAAGCAATAACTGAGCAGTACAAAACAAGAACAGCGCTGATTAAAATATTATTTAACCCATATCTAGGGGGGAAAGGTGAATTCATACCTTTTGCAAAAGTATTTGCGCATAAGTGAATATAAAGAACCCAACTGGAATTGAAAGTTGGCTCTTAGATTTGCAATTCCAAGTTGTCATCCATTACACCATCGACATATCTGAGCTTACGGCACGTGGTATTCCCAAGAAGTCATCCATCTAGGTATTGACTAGGCCTGATGTTACTTAACTTCAGTGACTGGACAAGAAACAGAGTTTCCGTGTGACATGGCTGTAAGTCTAACAAGAACAAGGTATCTCTAGACATGGACTGTGGTATGAGAACAATCTAAAAGGTTCAGTTCAAAATTCCCTTAAAGTTATTTGGATCGACAAGCACCTGAAGAAGACTGGTTAGCAGAACAGGTGAAATGTTGTGATAGTAATAACAACAAAGATGAGGACATTAGTCTGAGTGTGAATAATAATATTTCAAGGCTTTAATGCTATTAAAAAACATTAATCATAGACTGATATTTGAAACAGTTTCCAATAAAATTTTCAAAGTTTTTAAAATAACTTTTTATATCACAGCAGAAAAAAAAAATTTTTGTAAAAATATATATTATATATATATATATATATATATATATATATATATATATACACACACACACACACACACACACACACACACACACACACACACACACACACAAACACATTTCATTGAATAATCTGGACATAATATATCTATTTTTATAATGATCCTTTCTAATTATCTAATCAATTTCTTGATGTTGTTTCCTTTCCCAAATACCTTCAGCTGCCTCCAAGATCATTTCAGGGGTGAATTGCTAAGACAAAACTTAATGTAACTTTGATTGTTGCGATTTTTTTAAACACGCATGAATGCACTCTGTTATAATTATTTTAAAATTAACCGTTGTAGCTATGGTATTTTTTTGTAAATTTAACAAGACTAACTTAATCATATGCAATAACGCTTCTAAGTCAACTAGTGTTTTGGAAAAGACAAACATTACATAACAGTTTAAATGTCCTTTGGGAGATTGTATCTCTGACAAAAAAGTAAGTACATATGTTAGCTTGATGACTATAACATTATCAAGACAGCTTACACTCTATATGTTGGATACAAATTCTATCACACAATATTTAAAGAGACATTCCTGTCCACTTTCACAATAGAAGAAAATTCTTGTTAACAACACCAATATACTGCACCATGAAAATAACAAAAACTTTAAATTCTCAAGGCCCTCTATGTCAAAAGCAACCAACCAACACTAAACAAAATTTATTATGAGTATAGTAGCAATGCTTTAAAATGTATTTGACCAACATTTAATGCATTTGTATTTTTACCATTTCTGGTTACCCACCTTAAATTGTGAATGCTTGTTTACAGAGGAGATTGAAAGCACCTGGGAAAGTGCGGGGAGACTATGGGGACTTCCTTAATGAATTTCATCTGAACATCAAGAAATTGATTAGAGAATTAGAAAGGATAATTATAAAAATAGACATAATATGTAACGATTTATTTAATAAAACACATTTGAATAAAGAAAAGCTGCATATATATATATATATATATATATATATATAAGCTTTCATGTTTCGGCACCAAACTGTGCCTCTTCAGGTGAAAGTATATAACTGGAAAAAACAGTTATTTACCATTACCTGAAAAGGTACAGTTTGGTGCTGTAACACGAAACTCTTGTGTAGCAATTTTAACATGTTTCTGTTTTAATCTTTTATAATATAAAGCTTTACTCTGTATTGAGCCCTCATTTTAAAATTAAATGCTATTGACATTAGAATTATACTCCATTTGTACTTATATATATATATTACTTTTTATTTTTATACATTTTAAGCACTTTGTTTTGAAAAACACTAAAATCTAATCTCTTTGAAAAAGAAGAAATTTCATCAGTTCTTCTGGGAGAGGCAAGTTCTTGATTCTTTCAGCAAAAGGAAGCAGCTGTTGTTTACGTATGAAATGACGCACCAACTTTTTGAGCGAGAGTGGCCGGCTTCCAAGTTCTGTGAACATCTTCTTTTCTTCTTCGTTTACTTCCTTACAGGTAGAAATTGCATGCACATCAAAAACACTGCTGGCTTCAATTAGGAGATCAAGCAACTGTTTATCCTTACGAATCACAGGCATATACGCGAGAACACCAAATGGATCCTTCTTTCTGACAACTGTTGACACCCCAGCAAAATGCACCCAGGCTCCAGACTGAATCAAGAGAAACACGATGTCATAGCCAATAGTTTCATGGTTACTTAAATATTCAATCAAGGGAGATAAGCAGGGAGCTATATAGTTCATGATACCAGCATGAAAGTTTGGATTGGCACCAGCTTTTATCAGCAGTTTAATGATTTGCATCTGGTTCTTCAAATTGGTTGAGGCAGCTGCCATCATGAGGGCTGTACAGTTGTCATCAGTAGTCTCGTCAATATCTTGTGGAAAATAGAGAACCAGCTCAACAAGATCAACTCGGTCAGTAAGGACAGCTGTATGTAGAGCATTGTATTTATAATTTGGACACCGTGAAATACAAGCATGTTGCAAAAGGAGAGTTCTGGCTATAGAAAGGTTTCCAGCTTCTAAAGCGATATGCAGAGCAGTTTTCTGCTCAAATCTCTCTGGACGCTGTTGGTTCACATCTGCCCCCTTCTTGATCAGCAAGCGGACAGCCTGAATCTCATTTTCTTTTGCTGCCGTCATCAATGGTGTAAACCCTGACCGATTTACAGAATTAGGGTTTGCACCGTAGTTCAGCAAGAGATCAAGGCATTCAATGTTTTTTAGGGGGAGCAGATTTATCTCATATCCCATGAAATATCTTCTATTTGGATTGGCACCATTCTCCAATAGGAGCTTTACCACTTTCACGTGGTTGTTTTCCAAGGCTAAGTTTATCGGTTCCACAGTTGCATCCTGGCTGATAGGCTCTTCCAAATCATCAAAAGCATCATATACAGTGTTTACTTCTGGGGCTGTATAACCATTGCAATCAATCGATTGGGCCATATCTGTTTTGTCTTCTGCTAAATGTTTTATTGCATTTTGCTCTCTTTGTGACTCTTGAAGGGCTTCCACTTTGCTGAGGCTGACACCATTTTGCATAGAATCTTCAAGTGAGTCTTCTACAAGCATAACTGATTTCTTTCTTAGCATTGGAGTATATTCTTTGTTGTCAATATTAATGTGTGCGCCATGTTGTATGAGGTACTTTAAGCATTTGTAATTACCCTTCTTGGCGCACATATGTACTGGGGTATAACCTTCATCATTTTTTGCATTGATGTTACAGCCCAGCTTTATAAAATGTTTCATTGCATCCAAATTGTTTGCATAGGCAGCATAATGAAGGGGTACCATTCCCCGGTTCACAGGGCGGTTCACATCTCCTCCATATTTAAGGATCAGCTTTATGTCTTCCATTGGCATCAAGTAGGTCACTGTCTCGGCCAGAAGACGCTGAACCTGCCTCTTCTCATTTTCCTCTTCTTCAGCATTTAATTCTTCAATTGTCTTTAGTTTTTTTTTCAGTTTCTCTTCACCACCTTCCCCCTTTAAACTAATGTCATTTTCCAGTTCCTGTCAATGAAAGACAAAGAAGGCAGCCATTTACAAATATGAGCCAATGAGAAGGGAGAGAAGTGAAAGGTCAAATTGACAGCACCTTGGAAGAGTTGTCTTCTCTTACAAACAAATAAACAAATAAAATTAAAAAAAGCAATTTTAAAAATAACAAAAACAAAGAAAGCTTTTAAGACGTGTCAAAACACAACAGAAAGCTAAAAATAAAAAAGAATTTAAAAAAAAGGGTAAAAAAAATAAAATTATTTTATCAGTTGTTGTATATGAAGGCTGGATTTTTTCCCTTCCTCTGAAAAATTTGCACTCAAATTTATAAAAAAAAAAAAAAAAAAAAAAAAAAAAAGATGGAAGAAGTAATTTTCTGTCATTATTTTTTCTTAACCAGATTCTTCCAATACTTTTCTTACATAAAAGTAGAAAATATTGTGTAGAGCTAAAATAAACAAAAATTATAACATAATAACACTGCTTCATAATATAATTCATAATTTTAAAAATATAACTTTGCCAGATGATCCCTGACCAAAAGGGTGAAACTTAAGTTGTTAAGGAATTTATATTTTTTAAGTTTATATACATTGTTAACAACAACATTTCGTGTTGATTAATTTTAATTGAAGCTTGCTTTTGGTCCACTGCATCTGTCTCATCGTCCTCTTCGCTAATGAGCTTGCATTTGGCCCACTTCAAATTTCTCACCGTCTGAAATGGTTCTTTTGTCTACTTGAATTTGACACTCCTGCTTTATGGCAGGATTACCTTAAGGGAGTTGGGTTGTTTAAAAATAAAGATTTGGCTTATCAGGAAATTATGCCAAGGTTGTCGCTGAGATTTAAGCATATTTTAGCATTTTTTTTTTTTATTTAGCTTTCATTTACGGCTTTAAAAAATCTAACATTCGATGTACAACAACTGAATAAAAATTCCATGCAATTATGTTCCTTATCCAGGTCAATTCTAGTTCTAATAAAACAAAACAAAATCTTATCAAACATGTAAATAAACTCAAATGTAAGAAACACTTCCGTAGCTGTGGGAGTGAAAGAAAAGTTATAATCTGAAAGCAAAGCTTTTCCTTTCCAGCAACAACAACAATAAAGAAAAAGAAAAATAATAACAGTTTAACATTTAACAATGACCCACTGTATCCAACCATGCTTGAAGATGCACAATTTATGCACACATCTGAGGCAAAATTTTATCAGAGCAAAAAAATCCCTTGAAATCAATTTTCCTTCTTTACTGAGCTTCCATACATGCAATGAGATAATTGTTAGTGTGTAATTTCATGATTTCAGTATGTCTTGATTCTTGATAAAATCCAAAGAAGAATCTGCAATGTTATTGGTCCTGATCTGACATCTCTGCTTCAGTCACTTTCCTACCACCATGACAGTTTGTTGTGCCTTTTCTAGAAATACTTTCATATCAATTGTTCTGATGAACCTTTATGTTACCTAGACTTATGAATTTAAGCACAGTACTACTTTGGATTTTATAAAGAATCTCTGAATATATACCAATATATACTGGACCATATGTGGCAACAATATTTAAAGCATGGACATATGGTAGAATTATAAATATGTAAGATAGATTTTGGCTAGAAAAATTCTCTAGCGTGACACAGTGAACTAACTTTCCTAGCAGTAGATCTAGCAATTGATTCAATATATTCATTCCATTTCATGTCAGGAGAGATTGTCAGCTCTAAAAGATGCAATGAATCACTCTCTGGGAGGTTAGCATCAGCCATGGCAGAAAGGAATCTAACAGATATTTAATGGAGAGAAATTTCATTTTGGAGGCGTTATAATTAACAAATGCCTTTGCCTTAGTTAACAGCAGTAATGTTGGATTAAAAATTAATTCATAGAAATTTATCCTGAATGGCCACCTGTATAGATCCTTTCATACTAACATGGGTGTGTCTATATATATTTCAATCTTCTATGAATCTCTCACGTACATTCATATCTGCTCATGGCATATCAAATGTAAACAAATGATGTCACACATTATGAAATGGACAAGGTCCAACAATTATTTTAAGACATTTTTATGTTTATACATTCTTTTTATAGATACAAATATTTAAGTAAATGCTCTGTTTATGATAAACAGTATTAAACAAAATTTACCGGCCTGAATGTCCGAGACATTTTCACAGAAAATATTCGTCCTCCGACAGATTGAAGTTCAAATACAGTAAATTTGACCTTAATATATATGCATACACACACATTTCAGTTTCATACCTGAAATGTAAACAAGAGTAATTCAGGTAGAAAACTGAAGCTAGTAGATATAGATTTGCAGAAGTACTAGATTGTCAAGAAGGTCTCACCAATTTACTGTTGAATTGGCTAGATGCAAATGTAAGTTCTATGTTAACAGTTTCTTCTCTTGCACATCTCACTTCTGGAACACTTTCAGCTCCATGCTTTCCATCCAACATTGATCTTCAAAAATTTAAACCATCTTCTTGATTACTCTTCTTTTATTGTTTTCGCTCTTTAATAATGTTTCGCTTTTTTTATTTTTTCACACTCAGTAACTCCTTGCATCTTAGTGGCTTTACTGCCTTGCTTGGGGTGAAATGAGTAATAAAAGAAAAAAATTTCACTATTTAATAAAATAAAAAATAGGGATAGCAACTTAAATACGTGTACCCACTAAAAATACTTTATAGTAATAAGAAATTTTTAACTAACTCTGCCATGAAGAACATTTGTTGATCAAGCAAGGCTGAATACTGCCTTTAAACGAAATCCTTTTCATCAAAGACTCAAAACTTCATATCTGCTCAGTTTCATATCCAAAAGTAAACAAAGTAATTTCTGAAGAGGTAAAGGATTTTATATTTATTAATCTGACAGATTGTTTATGACTTTAAACATTATTTTTAGTGAATACATGTATTTGAGTAGACACTCCGCTTATTTATTAAACAATACATTTATTTATTTTTGTTTACTGGCCTAATTATTTGAGAAATCAAAGAAAAATATGAACTACAATTTCTTGAATATTCAAGCCTCCATAAATATGAGTCACTGGAATATGCAGACAGTTTGAGCCCAGTTCAAGTTGCCAGCTGTGTCAGTTAGCTTGTCATGTCAAGCACACCCAAAAAGTAATTTCACTCTCACAAATTTCCTCGCAGTGAATGACTGAATTGAAGAAAGGCAAAAGCCGAGCCCTTTTTTTCTTTACCTTCCTGTACATACTGCCTGTGTTGAAATAATGTAGTTCCACTGAACAAGTTTCATTGCTCTTTTTAATAAATTTTTATTATTGAAGACAATTCCACTCGCTGAGTCATCTATTGCTATGAAGACATTATTCATCTGGACACAACCCCCCCCCCAAAAAAAAAACACTACAGATCGTTGAGAAATGAAGTAAATAAATAATCTTTCTTTCTTCTTGCCACAAATCATAACACAATTCACTAGACGATACAAGCAATTGTGAATTGCACCACAACCCACGGAGTCAAACCCAGCAAAGTTACCCCAGGCACAGGTGTATGTTCATAGCTGCAGTAAAAGATGTTAATGTTGTGCTGTGTTGTTTTTAGTGATTTCAAGGGGAGATAACTTCACTTTGAAATAAATGTACTCAGGGATGATTACTGAGGAGATTTTTTAAGCTTGTCTGATACAGTAGGTTAAATCATTAGACAATGCAGAAAACAAAAACAAAGAAAGAAAAATTAAAAACTTGAAAAGAAACTGGTCTTTGAATATTATCTTCTTTGTATTCACTTCATAATTTTAATCATAAGTATATACACAATAAATAATAATTGAAAAGTTACCACTGGAGCTGAATCATATTCACAATCATGAGTCTTGTAACCCATTTGGGTCACAAAATGTACTGCAGTTGTAGTAGCAGTGGTGTGTCTTAGCAAGATCGCCTAACAGAGTCCAGTCTCTCTGGGCTGGTTTGAATTCAGAGTTTTCCTTCTCCTAGACTGGTTGCCAATCAAGGCTATAAGCCAGTCTGTCCGTTTATTTATTCATAGATGGTGGGAGAAGAGATGGATTCATGCCTTTCCCAAGGGTATTTGCATGTACATCAATGTAACAAACTCGACTGGAACTCAAACTTTG